ACCTCTACTTATGCTAAGGAACCTTAGCGTAGGTAGAGGTAGGAGTAGGGCTAGGTATTATATAAGCCAACCCTACCCCTACCCTACCCCTACCCATTCGCCAGTCTAAGCCGCACCCCTTTTCAGCTCCGTTACGGGCTGTAGGAATGTTTATACTTGATGCAATAGACTTTGCATCGGCATAAGCCCTCGAGCCAGAGACAGTAAGGATATGCTCGTGACACTGACCTCGCACAGCTGCGAACGCTATATAGGGGCTAATATTCTTGGTTCAAAATAATAATACATGGATAGTGGGAAAGGCCTGAGTACAGGGGTGCTATGGATTCGTCACGTGACCTGTGATGCTTGGCAATGCAAGTGAACAGAGCAACTTGCATACTACGGAAGCCTTAAGCGATATATGCTACTTCTTTGAGCATTTTATCCTAAAAATATTCACACTAACCTCCTCTTCTCCGTGACATCCAACAGCTGCACCTAATACCGGGTATTTCATATCATACGCGCTTAGACTGGTATCGTATCTGAGACGATGCGTGAGACTATATAGGTGATGAGGAGTCCGCTCGAACGCTTTGGTGAGTGCGAGAGTCTGATGTTTATGAACAATGGGCATGCCAGGCGCTATCCACATATTCGGCGCTCTTATAACAGCCGTTTCTGTACGATACACATGGGTGTTTCTAATGAAGGGAATAAGTAAGCTATTCAGGCTCCGTAAGGGACAATATCGAGACAGTGACATACTTGAGTGCAACGCTGGCAATCGCTGCCTCGATCATTGGTGTCGGAAAACGAGCAGCATGAGCCGACGTCTTCAAGGGTACATTGCTAGATCTGGAATTAGCGGATGAATAGCAGATAATGCGGGGAAATGATATAAGATTACCGTCCAATCTGCGGTGGAAAAGCCGATGCTGAGGAGCATAATAGCAGCAATTCGAAGAGCATGCATGGTGCTAGGCGGTGATGATTAATCCTTTATTTGGAGGTTACGTCTGAACAGGTGCTGAGAAATCAAGACAGAAATTGGAACTAAAGACTCTAACGGGACATCCGAGAACATAACAACCCATACTTTTGACCTGACTTATATTGAGTTTGAGCACAGCTTGCATGGAGATAGGAGCACCCATTGCTATACGAGATTCTCAGGACCGATAGCATGTCAGCTTATGCTAAATGCACAGTTTAATATAAATTCGGCCAGATGGTAAGCGGTAAGATGAAATAGATGTTAGTTACCTTCCCCCTGAAGCCCTTATCTTACTGCTTTGGCGCAGCGCACCGACCATCCAGACATAGAAAGTAAAGCGTAAATAGGAAATTTGGACATTTTAGGTTCTCAGACAGTTATGTAGTTGGCATGGGTACTTATGAAAGGGCGGTAATAACATTTGCTGCAGTCACTGCACCATAAGTCTGACTTTCCTCTGATATACTTCTGACCTCTTTTACTACCTTGGAAATTCGCTGCGTTAGCGCCGAAATTAGCCACAACATATTGACAATGATATTGCAATAAGCATATCGATGAAAGAATGGAAAGAAATATGGGAATATATTCAGCGCGGCTAAATGTTTGTGTGGATTGGGAGTCTCCGAGTACCAATGTTCCTATCAGCAGTAGGGGTATTTCGAGTTTTTGAAGAGTCGCTATCTAAACCAGCATTCTAGTCCTCACCAAATTATGCATACCGCACTCTTGAATGCTATCCCCGGCGCATCGCCTACGGAATTCAAACTTTACATGGATTTACCTGTACTACGGCACCGAGCCATTTCCGCTCGAGCGAGAGTACATGCGCCTATAATGACCGGCTTTACCCCGCGCTATCAAAGATTACTGGACTTTAAGCGAAGCCCGCGAGCTGAAACGAAGGCGACAGGCTGAATATGTAAAAAGACTGAGAGTATGCCAGGTGCTGCGTGATATGCCGGCACGCCGACCATGAAGGCAGAGTCCTGCCAACAAGCTACTTATTCCCACCATCACAAGCATCCACCGCGGCCTTTGCTGGGGTGAATTGCATTGAGATGCATCGAAATCCTCGGCCCTTGGTTCGTTATCCAGTACTAGGAGATTGAGCGACACCTTACTATCAATCGCTATACTACTTATCGCGAATGCGAGATCTGGAACTTGGGGTATACACTACCGTGTCACGATATCTGAAAGGGGGAAGCTTTGTCGTGCTGATAGAGCCTCGATATCAGCGATTTAGGAAGATCATTTACGTCAATTTAATTGCTCTGGTCTGAAGCTAGATAAGTAAGGCTGGTAGGAACTATGATTAGGCCGCTGATTGCAACTTCAGCTGCCAATCATGGCTAGATCTAGAACCCAAGATGATTTGTTGTTCTGGAGGGCAAATTAGCGCTCAAATAATTAGTTTAAACGCATTTTAGCAACATGCTGTTTATGGTGAGCTCTACTCCGATGCCCGGTCGCAAATCGATAAATGTTTTTGCCAATTTTCGCTGCTGCCATCACTTCCTCTAAACCCCCCCTGGAGGATACCCTAGTATTATACTGTCCATCAATTTACGATAGTGCAGGAGTAGTAACTCTTGAGGTCTTTGATAATGAAACTAAATGATACGAAGAGACTGCTATATAACGATTGTATTGGCTAGGATCTGTGATTGACCAATCGGGTGGATGCACGTGCCAAATGCATTCCGACTAGCGTTCCTATATCATTGTCTGCAGTGACTTGGTTCTTCTACACAATATGGCATCGATGTATGTGACCTCGACGATGCGTTCTCAGGTGACAACAGAGCGTTGGGATATTCTGTCTGCAGTTTGATCAAGACCTCTCCAAAAATCGATGTCTTTAGCCGATGATTACGCATTGTAAGCATAGCTTATACTGGCGCTCTCACCAACGTCAAGTTTTCTAGAATAGGTGTAATTTTTGTTAAATATATACAAATCCCTTACAAGAAACTAATTACAGCAAGTTTTAAGACGTGCAGCGTGCGCGCTGTAGAGCTATAAGCTATAAGAGCAGATAGTTGAGACACGTCTCACACTTAAAACAAAAACACACACTATAGTG